TGGTTACTAAAAGCAACTAACTTACTTTTTATTGCATTAGTAACCTTTTGCATTACTTTTTCCATCTGGTCTGGGTTTGCTTGTTTGTTTTTAATATAAAAAGTACTGTTTTTGGCAAATGTAAAAGCCCTTTAACACCAAAAGTTAAATGAATAAGCCTCAGGCTGAAGGGATTAAATACATTAAGTAGTTAAATACATAAAGGATTTTGCATTTCACTGTTTTTGTGCATTTTGAGGAATACTGAATCTGTTTTTGTGCAAGTGAGATGAGTAAATGCATGTTCACATTTAGTCTCGAACTACAATTACATCATGTTCACACAACGCCTCTGCACTGCACCGATTTCTCTCAACATGGGGACAGGAGAGCTGTCATTCAAGAAAACAAAGTAAATGATTTTACTTATTTGAAAAATCAACTCAGATATTTTCTTGTAAATTAAAAATAACAGAGCTAAAATTTTCCCTCAAAAACGCTATATTGTTATATCAGATTCAGTATAGTAGGCTATATATCAGTCTCTGAGAATTAAAGTGGTGATTCTCATAACCTTCAGATCACCAGTGGATGGCGCTTTAATTACGCCGATCAGCACCAGGTCAACCACAAAGATAGATCCTCATTCCAAAATGTTCTTGATACTTATTTTCAAGCTATATCAATCTTTATAACAAATGATGCCGGTAATGCAACGTCGAATTTTTGCATTTTAAGCCTTACACGACCACAGAACGAATGATTTTGCAATCAAACCGTAATCAGCGAGTCACGGGTTCAATAATGTGTTAGTCTGGCGATGTTCATTCTTTGTTGAATATTTTGATGGAAGCTATTATAATTGGGAACCAATCAAATAAGGATAATTTCAAGTCCATATTCTGCTGAAAATACAGGATTACCATTTTATGTTTTCCATTTATCGTATTCTCACTTGATATTTAGGCAACTTACTTATTTTTTTAATTTTATTTTATGTTATTGTCTTTTTCCACATTATGGTTGAATTATTTATATTATTATGCATTCCATTATTAATAAACAAAACAACAAAATTCCCCTAGGATATTTTGACTATAGTGCTATAGGTGTGAATTCTGTCATATACTCACCCAAACATGACTTTATTTCTTCTGCGGAACACAAAAGAAGTTATTTTGAAGAACGCTGGTCTAAATACAACATTAGACTTTCATTGTATAGAAAGACAAAAACCGAGACATATTTTGTGTTCCCAAGGAAAAATAAATGCATTCTAATTTGCACTTTTTTGGTGAACTATCCCTTCAAAACACTGGCCTGGTCTGTTATCTAATATTCATATATTTTAAATATATTTTTCTGTTTTTTAATCTTCATTTTATTTTTTTTGACATAAAACATGGGACGGTTGTATTCACCTTGACAAATTTCGACTATTGTTGCATCGTTTTGATAGTCAAACACAGCAACATGGAAACCCGTCCGCCCTGTAAGATGTTCAGCCATACAGGTTAGAATCCACTATGATTCTTAATTGTTATATTATAGTTCTCTCAGTCTTTTGTATCGCTTGGTACATTATTAGTACATTAGTATTAGCCTATTTGCAAACCGACATCCTAATCTCCTTCACATACACTAATAATAATACGTTATAATACGTAATTTGTTTTTCAAGCAAACACTGGCCGAAAACATTTTTGTGTGCATGTTTGTATGCATGAATGAAAATGACACTTTGCTCTTTGACATGTTACTTTGCCCTGTGACCGCTGGGTGGCGACATGTTTGACTTTATCTACAACAGAACTCAGACGCTCCGTCGCCGCCGTGTAATAAACACTGCCCTGATAAGGAAGGCGCCAGCTGAGCAATAGAAGAAGCAATTGCGATAGTTTACGTGGTGTTTACCACTGTTCTTCTGCGCCAATGCAGTTACTCATTAACCGTACTTTATACAAATAAAGATATACTCTTGATAAACTCTGACTCGAGGCTCCACAGAGTGGGCAGTCAAGTTATTTTACATTCTTTCAGGTTCACGTTGGTCCACATAAACATGCACGCACGACGGGCCTTATAAAGCTTTGTCACAGCCTAATGTACAGGGATGAATTCATTCTATGACAGCTGGAGATGTGCAAATAGCCTACCAGGGGTCTCCAAACTCGGTCTTGGAGGGCCGGTGTCACGCAGAGTTTAGCTCCAACCCTAATAAAACACACCTGAACCAGCAAATTAAGGTCTTACTAGGCATACTAGTACTACACCAGGCAGGTGTGTTGAGGCAAGTTGGAGTTAAACTCTGCAGGACACCGGCCCTCCAAGACCGAGTTTGGAGACCCCTGACTAATACTTTCTCTTTCCCTATTTGCTCGGGAACATCCTTCATTATCGAAAAGTAGTTACCTCCTTCTACACTCTAAAAAATGCTGGGTTAAATACAAACCAGTGCTGGGTAAAATAGGGACAAACCCAGCAATTGGGCTGTTTTGACCCAGTGGTTGGGTTTAACCCAGCATTTTTTAGAGTGTGTGATTGGAAAATAAAGGAACTTTTAGCCTTGATGTTAGAAAAGAATTTTGTGGGAAAAAAAGGTTTATTGTGAGATTTTGGTAGTGTCTGGGTTGCTGAGATTTTCTCACGTTTGTCTCTGGATATGTTTATAGATGGCTGCATGACCCATTGACTCAGTATGTATACTGTATTTGATCACCGCCTCATCCAGGTGTCTATTAATACTTGTGTTTAACCCAGCATTGTTTAGAGTGTAGATCAACATTTGAATGAATGTTTTTATGAATCACTTTATTTTGATTCTTACTTTATTTGGTTATACGCAAGTGGTCTTTGTGCGCATTGTAATTGTGTAGTTCGAAATGTCAAAGAAATATAAAACTGATTTTAATTGTCTATTTCAGGTGGTCATGTTTGAATAAATTTCGTCATCAGATCGTAAATTATACAAATTAAGTAAGTCTGAACACATTAGGAACACAATGGAAAATCTTTATTTCATTACGCTTTTCTACACTTTTTTATTGATTTATTTATTTTTTGGCAGTTTAGGCTCATATGTCACGAACAGTTAATTTAAACACACACTTGGACTAAAGCATTTTAGCTGCTGTGAAAGAAAAGTGTCATTACTTTCAAGCCATTGATGCATTGTGTTATCGCCTTTAATTTTTTTGAACCAAAGCACTTACACAACAGTTAATCAAAACGATGGCACATTACTTTTTTTCTGCTAGAGAAACTAGCACTGTGGTATTACGGGTGGATTCCAGAGTCTGGAGGACGCAAATGAGAACGTAATCAACAAGGAAAATGCTCACAAACTATTTTACACATATGTCAACAATAAATTAAGTTAAGCTCCCTCAAACAAACAAACAATCTCAGTTGTATTTACAAGCAATATTCATATGAAATAATTACATAAATATGTTATATGTATATATCGTTATTTACATTTTTATTTATTATAACCATATGATCCATTTTGATCCATATGATCCCTTTTCCCAGTTCATTTCGAAGCTGTATTTTATAAGCAATTTTAGTACCACGTCTGTTAACCTAGACAATCAAATGATTAATCAGTGGTCTCTCATTGACAACTTTAGAAAAAATGAATAAAACAAGATAAATGTTTGACTAGCCTGCCTTCCACATTTTACAAAAAAAATAAAATTATGTATGTGTGTATACACACACACACACACACACACACTAGAAAACGTCCTTAAGGTTTTACTGAGGTAACTCCGTCATATTGCAAAATAGTTTTGTCCCTATTTTACCCAGCACTGGGTTGTGTTTAACCCAGCATTTAGCATTGTTTAGAGTGTAGATCAACATTTGAATGAATGTTTTTATGAATCACTTTATTTTGATTATTACTTTATTTGGTTATACGCAAGTGGTCTTTGTGCGCATTGTAATTGTGTAGTTCGAAATGTCAAAGAAATATAAAACTGATTTTAATTGTCTATTTCAGGTGGTCATGTTTGAATAAATTTCGTCATCAGATCGTAAATTATACAAATTAAGTAAGTCTGAACACATTAGGAACACAATGGAAAATCTTTATTTCATTACGCTTTTCTACACTTTTTTATTGATTTATTTATTTTTTGGCAGTTTAGGCTCATATGTCACGAACAGTTAATTTAAACACACACTTGGACTAAAGCATTTTAGCTGCTGTGAAAGAAAAGTGTCATTACTTTCAAGCCATTGATGCATTGTGTTATCGCCTTTAATTTTTTTGAACCAAAGCACTTACACAACAGTTAATCAAAACGATGGCACATTACTTTTTTTCTGCTAGAGAAACTAGCACTGTGGTATTACGGGTGGATTCCAGAGTCTGGAGGACGCAAATGAGAACGTAATCAACAAGGAAAATGCTCACAAACTATTTTACACATATGTCAACAATAAATTAAGTTAAGCTCCCTCAAACAAACAAACAATCTCAGTTGTATTTACAAGCAATATTCATATGAAATAATTACATAAATATGTTATATGTATATATCGTTATTTACATTTTTATTTATTATAACCATATGATCCATTTTGATCCATATGATCCCTTTTCCCAGTTCATTTCGAAGCTGTATTTTATAAGCAATTTTAGTACCACGTCTGTTAACCTAGACAATCAAATGATTAATCAGTGGTCTCTCATTGACAACTTTAGAAAAAATGAATAAAACAAGATAAATGTTTGACTAGCCTGCCTTCCACATTTTACAAAAAAAATAAAATTATGTATGTGTGTATACACACACACACACACACACACACTAGAAAACGTCCTTAAGGTTTTACTGAGGTAACTCCGTCATATTGCAAAATAGTCTTAAAACTGTAGTGTAGATTTCGTTCTTGGTGAATTTGCGCTCGCTTCGAATAATACAGACTAAAACATTTAACTCAAAAACAGCAGTCTTGATTAAGTCTGGTCTTTGACATGCAATATGCCTCTGGTAACTTATTTAATTCATGAATATGTTTTCAAAGACATCCGATAAAGACACATCAAATAAACATATTCAGAGTGCATATTAAATTAAATCAAATCCGTCACCCTGACGTATAACATAAAGAGGAGCAGCAGCTTGATTCAGTCTCTGACATCCTTGCCTGGGCAATCAAAGTTTTAATTTAGCAAACGAACAACATACATTTTACGTGTTTATTTTTGTTTTATCAAAGTGCATTTTGAGTCAACTTTTTGTCCGATGCAGGTCCGTATTGTAAACGGGCTAATCGTCGTACGCAACCTGTAGGTCTGTCAATGTCTTCATCGTTCCCGGTCCGGTCACCATCACTCACGCGCAGCACTCTATGGAGACACACTGCGCGCTCTTTCCGATTTGGATTCAAGTCCACTGACCAGGCGCTGGATGCTCTGTAACTCGGTGCTGGAATCTTTCTCGGCGCAGGTTTTTGGTGAGAGTGATACTGAACCAGACGAGCGGCTGGTGACCTCAGAGTCCAGAGCAGCTGAAGTGGGACTCGTGGTCATCCCGTCTCCCTTCAGATCGAAGGCACTGCTCGCCATGGGTGGGACAGCCGTTGTAAGCAAAGTGCTGTCGGGAACGCTCGGTAAAGAGTAAGGGCTGTACCTTAACCGGGGCCGCACCGCGTTTAGAAACGGATGACGATGGACCGATGAAGAGGCGGCGGATGAAGCAGCTGCAGCGGCGGCCATATATGTGTAAGGAGTCTCTGACATCCTTGCCTGGGCAATCAAAGTTACTGTTTTAATTTAGCAAATGAACAACATACATTTTACGTGTTTATTTTTGTTTTATCAAAGTGCATTTTGAGTCAACTTTTTGTCCGATGCAGGTCCGTATTGTAAACGGGCTAATCGTCGTACGCAACCTGTAGGTCTGTCAATGTCTTCATCGTTCCCGGTCCGGTCACCATCACTCACGCGCAGCACTCTATGGAGACACACTGCGCGCTCTTTCCGATTTGGATTCAAGTCCACTGACCAGGCGCTGGATGCTCTGTAACTCGGTGCTGGAATCTTTCTCGGCGCAGGTTTTTGGTGAGAGTGATACTGAACCAGACGAGCGGCTGGTGACCTCAGAGTCCAGAGCAGCTGAAGTGGGACTCGTGGTCATCCCGTCTCCCTTCAGATCGAAGGCACTGCTCGCCATGGGTGGGACAGCCGTTGTAAGCAAAGTGCTGTCGGGAACGCTCGGTAAAGAGTAAGGGCTGTACCTTAACCGGGGCCGCACCGCGTTTAGAAACGGATGACGATGGACCGATGAAGAGGCGGCGGATGAAGCAGCTGCAGCGGCGGCCATATATGTGTAAGGATACGGGAAGAGACATCCAAAAGGAGACAGAGCCAGACCCTACAGACAGACAGACAGACAGCAAGATTTTTAACAAAATGAACAACTGGAATATTTTGTGTTGTGATCATTCACATTGTCCTCATTGTGCAATATGTGTGATGTAAACTGACTTTAAGATCAACACATGGATTCATATGTCAATGGCGACCAATAGGGGAATATATAAAATGCTGTAGTTTTTTTATTATCAACACCAGAGGTAATAATTTGTGATGAAAATAAAATAAAAATATGTATGTTTTATCCTGCTTTTCAGTTTCCTTGTACCTAATTTATATTCACTTTTTCCTTGATACACACACATACACATGCATGTTTTTTCCCTGATGTTGTGGCCTGTAGTAGGCTATGTATACTGTAAAATATGATAACGTGCAATTGTTAGCTTAAAGATCTATTTCTATCTGATTTAACCCACAAAATTAGCTTTGTTGGTATACATTGTGTATTTAGATTGATTCATTCACTGCAAACATTATTCAGTAATTTGAACGTTACTATTTTAAGTTAACATTTTTTTTGCAGTAG